CCTTAGGTTGAAAGCCATAAAAGGGATGTATAAAAATAGATCTAGCATGTATTAACTGAACACTAGGGAGACTTCCTTCCATCAAACTATCTACGTCCTCACTCTTGAGATATGAATGGTAACCCTCCTAGAGCTATTATGCAATTGTAAGTCATATAACAGACCTAGATGGAGCATGGTAGGTTTCAAATTAAATAAAAATCTGTAAGTATTATTTTAAAAATACCAATATCAGCATTAGCATCTCTCTCTCTCTCTCTCTCTCTCTCTCAGCTCAAATTCATATCAGCCTTTTGGATTGCCTCAGGAGTACAATAATTAATGTAACTAAAATTAGAAAAATATAGAAGCCAAAGAGAGCTATCTTACTTCAAACCAATTCTGTAATCGCCTAGGTGATTCTGACACACTCCTATTGTACCCTTTGTATCAGTGATCTTTCCCACTAAGATCTCAACTACTATATGGTATTTATTTGTAGAGATTCTACGAATTTCTAAATTTCTAGAGGTTAGTGCTATAGGACATTATTCTGGTCCTCAAGTGCAAGGATAAATTTTGTGGCATTTTAACAAAAAATAGTATAGACCAAATCTAAGATTGGACTTTGGTCTATAAAAAGGCAAAACAAAACAACAACAACAAAAGTGTGATAACAGATTGGGCCAAGGAGAAGAAGGCTGTTTTATAAAGGTCAATTTTTAAACCCCTCCTACAGAACATGATCTATGCAAAATATATCCACAATATATTCCAAAGCATAATGTCACCGGATAAACCTAAGGAGTGGAACATATGGGGGAATATGAAAAAGAAGGTATTAAAGTCTGAAAACAAGCAGGTTGGTAAGCTCATTAGCTGGGGTGGAATTTTAAAATCTTCACGTGAAAGAATATATAAATCAAAATATACACATGCATTCATAGTCATGCGCACTGTATATTCACACATGGCACTACACCATTACATTATACTAGAACAGTGAAATTCAATTCTTTTTATAAATGTAAAAGCGCCCTCTGCTGGCCAATTTGAGGTATTTATTTGCATTTTCTAGTTTGACAATATGAAGATTCAATTTAGGCTGGTTAAAGAAGTTTGGGGGATTTCCTGTGAAACTCTGCATAAAAGTAAGTTTATTCCAAATACAATAAATCTTATTTAGTTGTGAAACTCATGTACTTTACTTTTATTTTATTATAGAGCATAATTCATATAATAAAAGTGTCCATGCAAAATAACTACTCCCCTGTGACAAATCAACTGTAGCAATAATCTAAAACTGACTGTACAATCAACTTCATTGTACACTAATAGAATTTTAAAAAATCAATTAATTATGTACTTTCCATGAATAAAATACTTTTAATGGAATATAATGAATAGACTTTGTGCCCCTCTGATGTTTTCTAGGGAATTGTGGTCTAAATAAACACCAAAATTTTCCAGTATTTTCTTGTTATAAGATGATCAGTGACATCAGAAAACAGAACTATAACACCCAGCATTAAAATCCTACTAATAGTCTGAGAACTATTCAAATGTCCTTTAGAAATTATTGCGTTAACTGAGAAAGAGGCAACATAAAAAACATTTTGTATATCTTAATTAACCACTTTTTAAATGGGAAGCAGTTGGAAGGAGGAAGGAAGAAGAAATGCCAGCCCCCTTTGTGGAGGCATGATAAAATCACCCTCCAGATCTATCCACCGGGGAATTCTGATATATAACCCCTAGGATGAAGGAGATGTGATTGAAATTGATTTCAGGGCAGGCCACTGTTATTAATGCCTGTCCGTCTCACCTATCAGATGTATTAAGGAGTAAAAGGAGCTAAAAAACAATATACAAAGAATATTTGCACTAAAATGATAAATAGTTAACATTTGTATGCACTGAAAAAGATATTTTAGAAACTGGTTCAGAAATAAAATTACAAAAATCTTCATTTAAAATTGGAATTAATTCAAGTCAATTTTTTTCTTTCTGCATATGAAAATTCATATGTACAGATTATGTGCACCTTAAGTAAAAAGTCTCTTTCAATGCCATTTTGGTAAATGTATTTGAAATCTGAACACAATATATTAGAATTCAAATATATATTATCGATATCAATACACAAAACAAAATTATGAAAATGTATATTAGTGACTATGGAATACTTTCACATTTATTTGGATTGTTAATTCTGTCAAAGAATGCCAATATAAGCAAAATCCTTCCAGAGTAAGTTTTACAACAAAAATTTCAATCAAAAGAACTCCGATAACTTCTTTGGGATAACGATATTTCACAAGTTATTTATATCAGTACTTTTAGTCTGAAGAGCAATGAGAAAATGAACAGACACTTGGAATAATCCATAGCAGCAGTGTCTCCACCTTAAAGCAATGGCACTGCGTTTTCATAAATAAGTTACCCTTTGCTACAGCTCTGAAAGGGGCCAGAATGAATTTGACTGATTTGTTCCCAAATCCACATCAAAAGGATCTTCCAGACTAGACCGTTAAGTCTGTGTAATGGATGGAGTCCTCAGATCCCAGTACATCTTACTGTACTCTTGCGTGTCCTCCGGCTATTATATATTTCAATAGTCTGTACTTTTCTTCCATAGCACTTACTATAGTACTATTGCAAAGCACTTACTGTGCAGCCAATATAGTGATTACTGTCTGGCTGACACACCCATTGGTGGAAAGAAGCCATTTCTGTCTCCCCCCCACCCATTGTATTTACATTCCTGGAATGTGATAAATACTTGTTAAGAAAGAAGTGAAGGGAAGAGAGCAAAGGAGGTAACCTGGGGCGGCGGGGGAGGGGGAGACCTTTCTGTTCCTATGGCATTATTATTAAGATTCAAATTTGTCCACAAGATGCAGCTTTAAGTTTTATATTAAAGAGTAAAACAGAAAATTTTAAAAGTGTTGCTTTTATCTTTGTCCACTTTGAGACCCAGAATCCTCCACACATGAGGTATAATCTGATGAGATGCATTTGGGCAACCTTTGATGAAAAACCTTATTTGAGAAGCAGGATCATTTCCAATGTAGACATTTGGAAGCATCTTAGATGTTCAACAGTTAGATAATGCATCCAGTGGATACATTATTCAATTTTTATAAGTCATTCTGGAGAAATGTCCTTAAACATAAACATCTGAGTATGTAAACAGACTGGAAGGCCACACACCCAACAGTTAAATTATCCATATTGAGGGAGTATGGGTGACTTTTTCTTTGTATGTTTCTGTTTTCAAATTTGCTGCAATGCAATCATATTACTTTTCTGGGTCAAAAATAGTAAACTTTGCAGTGGTATGCTGCAGTCAGCTTAATACCAGGTCTTGTTCAATTTTCAGGAAGTTTGTGAGCCAGTGGTTAAGCATAGCATTTAAAAAATTAAATTATTTAAACTGCAATTAAATAAATTATACTAAAACAAAGGTAATGAATACTTAAAACCTATCATTTCCTGATCATCTGCTATGTTATCTATGGTATTAGGCTAATTATGCCTGCTGCATCTGTGTGGTGGAAATGCTATGTAATGATGTGCCACTGGACATCTCTCACCAACTTGTGCACTGATTATGTTATGGAGGCTGGAAATCAGCCTTAGTGGGACCATTTACACCATGGAGATTGGTATTCACTACCAATCAGGGCTTTTTTCCTTTTCCCCAGAGAGCTACTTGTTAAACATTTATCAGCACACCACAGACTTGAAGTATTTCTTGAGAAAGAGAATGTGGCCCTTTTGAGGAGACAGGAGAGGAAAGAAGAATTCTGTCACGCGCAATTAGGGAGGAGAACAAAATTAAATTAGTTTGATCCTCCCAGGGGTTTCATATCAAAAAGGCGGACATGGTGGTAACTAGTTCTCACACCAATTAGTTGCTGCGATTCCAGCCAACACCAGTTCAGCCCCCGTCCATCTTCCTCCGACAGCCTTGGTTTCAGACCACACTCCAGCTGAACCTCTCTGAGACATCCCAGCCTGTCAAGTAGGGACAAGGTAATGGCCTGAGGTCCTGGGCTTTGGATGAAACAAGCTTAACAACGGGGATGCGTCCTGAGAAATGTCGACGGGCGACTTGGTCATTGTGCGAACTGCCGAGTTCACGGACACAAACCCGGACGGCGTAGCCTTCTACACATCTAGGCGGCCTGGCATCGCCTACTGCTCCCAGGCCACAAGCTTTCCAGCATGTTACTGTACAAAACAACAGAAGATTAAATCAAGCCCACGAGAAGATGATGCCAGCAAGAGATGCAGGAAAGGGAGATGTTGGAGGCCGCTGCCAGGGTAACACGGCATACCATTTATAGCAAAGTGTTCTATTTATAAGTAGGAAGAGTACACTCTAAAATAATGATTAAAAGTATAGTTCAGTAAATATGCAAACAAGTAGCACAGTCGTTTCTTAACAAGTACTACGTACTGTATATACTTGTGTATGCTGTACCTTTAGACAACTGGAAGCTCTTTGTTGGCAAGAGAATCCCCACAAACACGAGAGGAATGCATTACGCTACCACCTCACAACAGCCAGGATGCTACTGCACAGTCGGAATTTTCAGCTCCGTTATGATATTGTGGGATCACTGTCATAGATGCGGTCTGTCATTGACCAAGATGTCCTTATGCGGCACAAGACTATAATGTATTTGGAAGTACTTTAAAAACCATTAAAATATAGGGCATGCTTATGATATTTATCACATTACAAGGCCCACAGATGTCTTATAAAGTAAAATTAGAACCAAATGTGTTCATATTCATAACATTAATATTGCATTAGTTTTGAAAACATTTTTAGCCACCAAGAGGAATTAATTTTCATTTAATTTCCTCTACAAATATTATTTTAATAAAAATGCTCACAAAACCCCAAATTTTCTCCCTCTGCCTAACAGACCCCAATGCCATCCATGCACCAGATGATTTTTTGTGACGTAGTAATTAGTGCACGTAATGTACGTAGGTGTTCCAAGTACCTGAAACTACAGAAGAATCCATAAAAGATGATTCCACTGAGTTATTTTCCGTGTCCCAGCCGTCTTTCTCTGGGCTTGGCTGATCTGTGGCTAAAAGAAGTAGCTCTTCAGGACCATCTTCTTGTGATGAATTCTCATTTTCTGTGAATAAAAGTATTAGAATGTAAAAAAAACATAGCACAATGCAAGTTTTTACACAGGATACACAAAACCATTATTGCTATTTTGAAAATGAAATGGGTGTTCCTAATAGAGATTTGCCTGAATATACTTCAATACCTTGAAATTCTAAACAGAATGTAAATTATATGCATTGCAAGCTTTTATACACTATCGACACCTGTTATTGTTACTCTGAAAACCAAGTGGGGGGTCTCGCTTAGAAATTTGCCCAAATGTACTTCAATGCTTGGACATTTTCAAAGGCTTGGAATGTGTGTTTTGTTCTGACACAGTATTTTTGTTATTAACATGGACACCGCGAGTAGTTCTTCTCAACGACTACATTTTGTCTAAAAAGACTATATAATAACTTTTATACCAGTCACAAGAAAAGTATGACGATTTCCTATCTGACCATCACCTTTTGGAAGTAAGCCACTTATGCAGTGATGCAAAGTCAGATTTAAAGCTGAATTAATGAAAATGCAAATTTGGTGGTAGTTTTTCTTTAGCCTGTGCTCTTGCCATTTTGTTCCCTCGCAGTGTGTTTTACAGGAGATGTACATATGCTTTAATGTCAGCCTGAATGCATGTATTCCGAATTTCTGGAGATTTTTTTAAAAAATTCAATAAAATATTCTGTATCCTTTCTTTCTTTTCCCTTTATTTCCCCTATCGAGCCTTCCTTCCTTCCACCAACACAAACTGAATATTGTCTTAAGGGACTATGTGGTTACAAAGAAAAACAAGACTTTCTGTCCTTCTAAAGCCACATCTGTCAGAGAGGACTAATGCCGTGAAGAAAAAATTTAGTATCATTTTGGATTAGGCCATCTTACCAGATAACAGGAAAAGAAGGTGTGTGTACAAAGAATTTCCCAAAAAAACTGTTGTGACTTTGGACTTGGTCTTTGGCTAGACAACTTGACAATGTTTGTAGCTATATATTAAGTATACTTGGAGTTTATAATCAATTAATAACAGTCAACTTGTTTTGGGCTTACCATAAAAGCACTTTACATACATTAAATCATTTAATCCTCAAAATAATCCTAATAAAGAAGGAACATTACTATCCCCACTTCACAGAGAAGAAAACTGAGGCACACAGAGGGCAAGTACCTGGCCAAAGTCATACATCCAGGGACGTAAGGAGCAAAGATTCAATAAGCATAAGGATTCAGAACCTAGGCTCCCATATCCATTAGCTCGGGCCACCATTACAAAATACTATCGACTGAGGGGCTCGAACAACAGAATTTTATTATCTCACAGTTGTGGAGAGTGGCAGTCCTAAATCAATGTGCTAGCAGGGTTGGTGTCTGGAGAGAGCTGTTGCTCTTTCTTCAGGTTGCAGAAGGTCACCTTCTGAAAGTCCTCACATAGGAGAGAGAGAGAGAGAATATCTCTTCCTCTTCTTATAAGGCCACAGTCTTACTGGATTAGGGCCCACCCTTCTGACCTCATTTAACCTTAATTATCTCCTGAAGACCCTATATCCAGATACAGTCTCATTGGGAGTTAGGGCTTCAGCATATGAATTTGGGGGTGACACAGTTTGGTCCATTGCAGCTCCTAACCACAAGAAAAATCACAGCTAACTTTCTGATTGTCAAGACCTGCTAGAAAAATCCTTAGGTTCCCATGATATGACGTACTGTTCGGCAAACGATACTTAAATACCTGACTCCGCTATTAGATTTCCATAAGAAATTAAAAGTAAGTCCTACCTATTTGGAATGAGTTGGTGGGGGAGCAGAATGCTGAGCCCCAGACAGAGATCAGCATTTGCCATCCATCCTTTACAGGGAGCTTAGAGATCCATCTCTCTTCTGCTCTCTGCCCACATAAGAGCCTACATCCTGAGTCGACATGTCATCACCCACTCTGGTAGAAAGAGGGAGAAGCCCCAGCCGCCAGAGGACCATTCCCTGGGCCCAGGGAGAGGGAAAAGCAAGAACTGGTGCCACTGTTTGTCTTTTCACGAGTACCTGCCACGTTTATAAAATGTTTGGCCTTGGCCATCAAGGACATGTGCATGGGCCGGGAGAATCTGCATCAACCAGTCCCTAAGCTGTTCTGAAACAGGCATAAAGACGTCATCATAATACAAGGGTACAGCACATAATAAGGACAGCAACGAGGAAGGTGTGTGAACACCAGGTGTGCATGGTGAGATGTGTTACAACACAGGTATTACGTGAGATTTACCACACAGTCTCTCCACAGGTTGTTACTGTTCAAAGAATTACAATATTGAAAAATGATGTTAAACTTTTAACAAGGCACCTTGTAAAGTAGAACTTAAAAATATCTTAGCAAGAATATTGGCAGACATGATGTCTCTGTCAGGAGAATCTAGAAGGTACTTTGGAGCAGACAGTCTAGACTTTTTCCTAGATAATGTTGCCACTGTGCACAACTGTAAACTGAACAGGTACCCTCTAATTTGGGGGGGTGGATCTGAGAAGGTCTTTTATGATCTGAAAGGCTGCCCTTTCTAATATCCTTTGATACACTGAGGTCAAAGTTTTCCAAGGGGAAAACCCCCGAAATGTAGAAATTTCCTTTTGAAGTTCAAGTCCTAGAATGCTTGTCATAAGTGGAAGTGTTCCCATGGAGTCTTGAAAGGAAACTCATGAGATGGGTGGTCTAGATGGGGTCCAGCTCATCCTTGAGGTGTGTAGGAGAAACTTGGCCCCATCATCGTATATAGCGGCTGGAAGTACCTTCAGACCTAGCAAACTGGCCCTGTGGACACCATGGCCGGGCCACGATGTATAAGTGCAGAAAACCATAATATTGGTGTTGCAACTGAGGCCTCTCCAGAGAACTGAAGCAAAGTACAGATGCTTCTTACTGAAAAGGGCTTTTTACATAGTTAAGCTTTGCTGTGGGAACAGAAGCAATGACAGTAGAAACCCTGGAACCTGCTTGTGGACAGATCACGGAGTTACTGCCTGCGTTTTGAAAGCTGCCTTCACCAAGTTTTACTGAGCAAGCACCCCCTCCTCAATCCTTGAATGATTCAAGAGAGAAGGGATAACTGCAAGGCCTCTTGAGATTTTCACTTGGGAGTCTCGAGCATATATGACAGTGCAAAGCATTTGTTTTGCATAGATAACTTAGAAAATAGTTTACCGGGCATCTTATTCCATAGAAAGTGTGGTATATGGGGGTAGAGAATTTTTGTATGTCTCTTTAAGTCCATATCCCCAGCCCTGCAACAGTGTCTGGCACATCTTGGGCATCATGAAATGTTATTTGAATGACTGAATGAATGAATGAATGAATGAGTAGATGTGAGCTTGAAATGATTCTAAGTCATTTAAATCAGTGATTACCAATTAACTTCCAGTTTGTCTTACACATGACATTTTGGAAAACATAACGTATATACTCTGAAACAAATAAGATGGCAGTTTAAACTAGCTTTATAATCATATATGTGAAACTCAATAAATGGTACTTATGTTATTATAATTAAATAGTTTTAAAAACTCACATAAAAGGCTATTAAAATATGTTGGCTATTACAGACCTTTTATCAAACATTTAATAAATTTCTTTAAAATGTATATAAAATATCCAGGAGACTATGCAGCAGTCGTAATAACATTAATTTTTTTTCTTCCAATTTATTTGTGTCTGCTCAATGTTAAAAATATCTTGATAAAAATTTCAGGTAATCGTCTCATTTCTAAAATAAGATGGGTAGTAGCCCTGGTCGGTTTGGCTCAGCGGTTAGAGCATTGGCCTGCAGTCTGGAGAGACCCGGGTTCGGTTCCTGCTAAAATAAAATGGGTGATGGAAAGGGTTTGGGGCTGGGAGTCAGCAGCCAATATTTTCGCCCATTTTGCTGAGTTTTATGGTTTTCTGTAAGTTAATCTTATCCTGGGCAGCAGTTTTCTTATTCATAAAGAAGATAAAAGAAATGATCTCTCAAATCCTTTTCAGTTTTGAAATTTTGATTCTAAGTATTTTAGTGTTTGGCCTTGTGTCTACAAACTTCATTAAGCTCTCCATCACATTCAACTCTCAACCACCGGGCAAAACTTGCGAACTCTTCCACCGTAGTATTAGAAATACCTGCACTGCTTAGAATTAGAAATACCTGCGCTGCTTAGAATTAGAAATACCTGCACTGCTTAGAATTAGAAATACCTGTGCTGCTGTCGGAGGCGGAGCCTGTCAAGTCCTGGGCAAGGGCTTCGTTTTCCGTTTGCCTCAGAACAGTCAGAAACGCAGAAAACCAGTTCTCTTTCTGCACAATCCTTCTCAGCAGCTCTCTCACACCTGCCTCATTGCCATTATTTTCTGCAGCAGCAATCTGTTTGAAGAGAAAAGCTGAATTAAAGAAAATCAAACATCGTCTGAATTAATTTAAAAAGGAACTAGCCTTTAGAAAAATGGAGCAATTAAGCTTAAGTATAAATAAAGACTTATTTCAAACACTGAAGACAACAGCAGGGCCACTTGTAACCATGAATGTTTTCACCTGAGGCTTTCTAAAGAAGGGGTGCAAAAGAAAGGGCCTCTAATACCTAGCCAGTTCATGTTGATTTGCATCAATTTCTTTCTGTATATCTAGGGCCTAATTTTTCCTTTTAACTCATGGAGTCCGCAAATGGGAAATCAAACATTTTTTATCCAACTCCTGTTTCTTCATCATTATCATTAAGAAGTAATTACTATCGCCCTGGCCAGTTTGGCTCAGCGGTTAGAGTGTCGGCCTGCGGTCCGGAGAGACCCAGGTTCGGTTCCCGCTAAGGGCACGTACTTCGGTTGCAGTTTGTCCCCGGCCCTGGTTGGTCGTGCAGGTGGCAGCCACTCAATGTGTCCCTTCACGTTGATGTTTCTCACTCTCTCTCCCTTCCTCTCTCTCCCTCCCACTCTATCTGTACAAAAAATGGAAAAATATCCTCGGGTGAGGATAAAAAAAAAAAAAGAAGTAATTACTATCACAGATTTATATTCTTGCTTATTTAGTATTTGCTATAGTTATCATTAATATTTTTCTTAAATGGGAGTAGACTTAATATTATGAGAAAAAATATTTCTGTATCTATTCCTTTTTTTAAAGTCGGGAGCAGAAGTATGTCTACGCCCATTCATTGCACTCCTTAGCCTTCATTTACTTCCCTTGCAGATCAGTCTAAGCAAATCTTTCTAAATGTGGATCATCTGTGTAATCATATCATTCTTAATATAGCACCAAACATTTGGAGAAAAGACCAATGCAAGCCACATTTAGACCAGAAAACAATTAGACAGGACATCATCATCTTGCTGTGACATTAGGTAAGCTACTTTCTCTCTCTGGGCCTCAGTTTCTAGATGTGTATATGAAGCAACTGAAAAGAAATTTTAGGCATTCTCCATCCTTGCTACACTAGCATCACCTGGCGAGCTTTAGCAACTACTGATGTCTGGGATCTACTCCCTAAGATTCTGATTTATTTAGTCTATTCTGGGAAACAGGAAAACATTTTTTAAAAAGCATTTAATGATTCTAATGAGCAGTTTAGATCAGAAATACTGACTTAGATACTCTCAAGGTCCTTTTCAACATTTGTTCATCTTCTACATGAGTAATTTGAATTGTTTAACTAGATTAGTTTTTCCTACAAAATTCGTGTATTTTCTAATGCCTATAAATATATGCCATATGTTTTTAAAGTCGGGAATTTGTGCTTTTGGAATAATGTAGGCATAAATTCAGTGCTAGCTATTTTTATGGATACCTAGAAAAAACTTCTACCTTTACAAACATTTCACAAGCCAACACCACTTAGTACCTAAGTGTATAGCATGGTTTCTACCCAAGGGATATTTTAGTATTATTAGCTAATAGTTAATAATACTATTATAAAGGCTTTGCATATATTAACCCAGCAACCCTAAAGAAGGCAACAATATTAAACCCATTTTACAGATCAAAAATCCAAGGTGCAGAGAAGTCCAGTTACCTCCCCAAGGACACACAGAGGTAGCAGTTGATCCCAGGCAATTGGCATCAATGCTGCCTTCCTGTACTATAATTATAGATAATAGTTGTCCCTAAAAACTTCATTTTCTGGAAAGAAGGTTTAAAATGACTCCTTGAATTTAATAAATTTTAGGTGATTTCAGTTAATCTCCCCCACAGCATTTTCTAAGCAGATTCTTGCTCATTTCTTACCTTTTTCTCTAACTTTATTAATCTCCTAATAAAAATTATTTGTTTTTGATGGTGTTTATAATGTCCAATTTATTATTATCTGCTAATTTTTCAGAAAGCATTTCTCTAAAAAAAAACCAGTGAGGCAATGTAATAAATATTTTTATATAAAAAAACTAAGCATATTATATCCACTAAATATTCTTTAATTATTAATTAGTTGATTTTTACTAAAAATTAGATTTGTCAAACTTGCATTTTCCTTACTGAGTTCCTTACATAAGCATTTAAGGATGCTTATGCCATTACTTCCTATAAGTATTTTCATTATTTGAATGTGAAACAACATATAATACCTGTGCAATTTTGTCAGCTTCATCAAGATTCCAAGTTGTTAAGGAATCTTCCTTTTTTGGGTGCTAAAAAATACATTAATACCCTTTGAAGCAACCACATAACTTTTTAAAACTTAATCTGCTGGCCGGGTTGGCTCAGCTGTTAAAGCATCAGCCCGTTGACCAGGGAGTCTCAGGTTCGGTTCCCGCTAAGGGCACGTACCTCGGTTGCAGTTTGTCCCTGGCCCCGGTTGGCGCCGTATGAGTGGCAGCCAGTCATTGTCTCTCTCACATCGATGTTTCTCTCTCTCTTCCTCCCTCTCTCCCTCCCACTCTATCTGAAGATGAATGCAAAAATGTCCTCAGGTGAGGATAAAAAAAACCAAGAAACTTAATCTGCTGTCCTAAAACACAGTAAAGATTTTAGATTCCAATACACAAACTTGATTGCTGAAATTCTTGAGAGGTAAATATTTAGACTGGAAGCTGCAACAGCACATATAATGATTCCCACTCATATTCCTCCCTCGCTGAACTTTTTCTCTGAATATGAAATTTAAAATGTGTATGAATACATTGTTAGCTAATTTAAGGAATATAAAATAAATATGAATTTGTGGATAATATAATTCAATGCTTTCATGTTATAAATTCCTTTATCTATGTTATTTCTTTCCAACAGAAATGAGTGGAGAAACCAATGACATTTCCATTAAGCACTGGTTTGCCAACATGATTGTACAGTTTGATAAAAATGCATTCTCTCCTTCGTAATAACTTTAGGTAGCTATTTAAATGTAATGAGATACACACACACACACACACACACACATATATATTTTTTAACTTTATCCAAGGATACTTTTCCATTGAGTTTAGATAAACTGGAAAGGAGGAAGGAAGAGAGAGAGAGAAACATCAACATGAGAGACAGACATCCATTGGCTGCCTCTTGCATGACCCCAACCAGGGTGAGGGACCAAAACCCCAACCCAGGTAAGTGCCCTTGACCAGGAATAGAGCCCAAAACCCTTCAGTTCACAGGCGAGACTCTAACCACTGAGCAAAATTGGACAGGGCTAATGGTTATTTTTAAGCACAGCAGAGCTCAACTCTCAGTAGTAGTAAATCAGGAAGTAAAACTCACATTGAAAACAAAGAATTCTTAAGAACTAGCACCCCACAAAGTTAAAGTCTTACAAAATGATTACATATTGTCATAATAACATAACTAGTTTCTTATTAATACTTTTCCTGCTAATTAAGTTCTTATCTACCCTAATTCAGTAATACAGTGAGCTGGTGCGGAATGACTAAAACATTCAACTTCACGTAGGGAGAACTGGGCTAGGTTTCCAGCTGAACTAGCCATAGCATCTCTGGTTCTCCTATGTATGGGGTCTTCTAGGACTATAAATGTTTATGCTTTGAACCATCCAGGGCTGAAACATGCACCTCACTTCAGCTGTTCAGATTGATATTGAGACATTATAGCCTGGCCAGTGTGGCTTAGTAGATTGAGCTTCTTGCATGGATTAAGAGGTCCCGGTTCGATTCCTGCTCAGGGCACATGCCCAGGTTGCAGGCTCGATCCCCAGTAGGGGGCGTGCTGGAGGCAGCCGAAGGATATATCTCCCTCACATCGATGTTTCTATCTCTCTCCCTTCCTCTCTCTCTAAAAAAAAATCAATAAAAACATATTTTAAAAGAAAAGACATTATGGAAATGTTTATGTGATCAGTTGTTTTTCAGAGTTCAGTCATCTCTCGTTTATGCGGTTAATCTGTTCCAGACTCTAGTGGTTGCACCTGGCCAACATTGAAGGATTCCTGGGGTGCTCGAATACATCAGCCTACAGTCCATACGTATAGTAATTTTAATTGTAATTGTAATACAGGGGTGTATAATTGACTCAGACAACCGAGCGCGCGCTGTATCATTTTCACTGTCTCAATCAACTTTTTAATGAATATATTTGAAAAAAAAAAAACGCGATAGAGCGAAGCCCCGAACGTCAAAGCCGGAACTGGCGAAGGACGACTGTTCATGGCTAAGTCAGTGAATGGGCCAAGATGTCCAATAAGCATCCTAAAACAGAAGCAGGTCAGTACAGGGACACTCCCTACAGTTAGCAATCATTCTGTTATAATGATCTATAAAGTGGCTCTTGTACTTATTATTGAGTTGTCAATGTTCACAAGTATCTTGCACAAGCTAGACATCTTTTAATGACTTGTTGGAAGCATGAACACTAATCAACAGTACAACATAAGCTCCATGAAAGTACAGGCAATATCTGTGTCATTTTCCAATCTTTCCACTATCGTGGCACTTTTGTGCCACTCTATAATCCAAATCAATGAATAAATAAATCAATTACATAAGTTTATTTGGGTAATCAGTGGACACAAAATTGACTCTAGGATCATTTTCAGAAGCTGTAATATAGAGGAAGGAGGGACTGTCATGTGGAGATTGGAATCCTAAACTAGAATACCAAGTAAAAAATGTCTACTGGAAAAAGGGAAAATAATTAAAATAAACTATGATTTTTTTAGAAGTCCTGACTACTTAGTTAAATGCTACTTTAAAGCTGTCCAAAAAACAATTTTTTAATTCTTATGTTTATCATCCATCTATTCCACAATGCTTGACATGATTCATTATATCACATGTTTGCATCCCTTATTCCAGACAACTCCTTGGAAATAAATTTAACCAATCAATATTTATTAATCAATATTAATCAATCAATATTTATTAAGTATAAACCCTATACCTAGTCTTGGCTAGGTTCTGGGAACCTAAAGATGAAAGATATAGTTTCTTCTTCAAATTACATTTTAACCCAGGGACTTTAAGAAGCTGATCTCAAGTTTAACGTGGAGATTTACCTAAATCCATGAAACTCTACATTCACGCCCTGGCCAATTTAGCTCAGTGGTTGGAGCGTTGGCCTGCGGACCAGAGAGTCCCGGGGCACGTACCAAAAAAATAAATGAATAAATAAATAAATTCACAAAGAAATGTAACCAAATAAGTGATAATAAAAATCGCCATCATCATCATCATCATCATAACAAAATAGCTCTTTACCATTTATATAGCTTTTTCATGGACATGATTTTGTGTTCACTAAAATTCTGTGAGTGAGAGGAGACATTATTATTATGTTAATTCTCATGGGTAATCTTAGGATGAAAAGACTTTAAAAACTAACACATATGGTAAGAAACAAAGATATTAAGTCCAGGTCTTTCCATTCCAAATTCCTATGCTTTTCCCACTGTACTTTGCCATTTAAGATAAGCATTCATCAACGACCTTGGTACCAATAGATTCTTCTAAACCTAGAATGTCCTTCCCATCGTCCACCATGGCGTATTTTTTATTTTGATGACACATGTAAAATGATTTGTACAAAATTCATTCCAGAATCTCCCAGAGCCACTATACCTCCTTAGAGAGCCTCCATCTTTCGGTGCCTCCTGTGAAATACGAATCTAGGGGAGAGTTTGGATTGCCTTGGCCTTCACTGTTATCAGTACACAAATGTCCCTTTACTCTGTGTCTTCCTTGTGTCATCTCCCTTGCATTACTGCTAGCTGCCTCCAAGCTTGCCAGAATCAAGAACTTGGATAAAATCTAGCTGGAGGAAATTCAACCCAGGCAAGACAAAAGTGATGCTGATAGGCAGAAGTATTTAGAGTAAATAAGGAGAAGTGCTGTTTCACTGGCAATCGGGACATCATACCCACCAAACATAAACAGCTTTGTGGTGTTACTGGACTCTGTTGCTTCTGGACTTCCTAACAGCTACTGTGGCTGGAAATGCCATCTTCCATCTCCAGCTGGCTTGAAGGCTGCATACTGTCTTCCAAATTAAGATTCTGCCACAGTGATGTACACATTTGTCATATCCAGCTGGACTACTATAATGCGTTCTAGCTGGTTCTCAATACACAAAACTACATATACGTTACAGACAACAGTGTAAAGTAATTTACTTGTTGGGAAAACCAGCCATCAAAATTAGATGCATGCTTAGGTCTTTGGACGGGCCCCATAGCTGTCAAATCTACCAAGGAGCATCAACTTGAGTCACTTTAGACTAAGTCACATCATAGGCTGATCTGAGTCCAACACCCAAAACTTTGTAATGAGGATACAAACAATGAATAAATCAAAAAGAAACAGAGAATGAAAGAAAATGTCAAACTCATAGCATGGTAGACAAAACATTTGGCATTTAGTCATGGGCTTATTTCCCTGTTTGCCTTTCAAATTAAGACTTTTGACCTATGACCCCGAATATGTCTGATTCAAATAGGTCACAATTTCTACACTTTGTGGTACATCCTTACTCGCTGAAAAACAATGAACAATAAAACATTACATTAAGTGAAAAGCTACTTGTGAAACTCTGTCAAAACGCCACCTAAAAATTCCACTACTCCTTCACTATTATAAAAAACTGCAACTAGAGACATATTTGTCAATGAATTATCTCCAGATGTTGATTCTCAGAGAATGTTGAAACCTTAAAGGAAAAGAAAAGTGTGTGTTATATGGAATTTCCCCATTTAGAACAAAATCAAATGGCATAATGAATAATATAGGCCAGAGGTTGGCAAATATTTCCTCTAAGGTCCAGTTAATAAATATTTAGGTTTTGTGGGCTACATGTTCTCTGTCCAACTGCTCCTGAAGGGCAAGAGCAGTCATGTTAATGTAAATGAATGAGCATGGCTGTGTTCTAATAAAACTTTCTTTATAAACACTGAAAACTTAAAAATCTAAAAGCCATTCTTAACTTTGGGGCCTGGCAAAAACCAGTCTAGACTTAGCCCATGGGTCATGTTTTGCTGATGCCTGTTGTATGGAAGTATATTAAATAAGACATAAAATTCCACACCATCAGGCACTAAATCACTAGCTCTGCCACTGTCTTCCTGGGAAACCTTGGGCAAGTTATTTAACCTGCCTCAGTTTTCTCATCTGTAAAACAGAGTTAATAACATTCCATACCTCAATGGATTATTCCGAGCATGAATTCTGATAATATATTTCACACAGTATACTAATCATACACAGTAAGTGTTCAATAAATGTCATCTATGAGCACACATTATTAGTCCAGAATTAACTCTTTAGAGCTAATTTCAGTGAAAGAATTTTTAAAAATAGCCTTTTTGTGTTTAAACATTCAAAATTATGTTTTATGTGCTTAGATATTCTCTCTTCAAGGAAGGAGGGATCCAGATTTACCCAAAGATGTGAAAGAACATTTGGAATAGGGCAAATAACAGGACCAGTATCAAGTTGCTCAATCTGCCTAAAAGCCCAGATCCATCTGATACCTACCCGATTTCTGTCTTCGACTGTCAACAGTTCCACCTCCAGACATTTATCCAAGACATCTCTCACCAGAAGCTTGTCCACCAGAGTGGGCTGAAGGAGGTTCAGCAGTTGGAGACACTCATCATGATTGTTCTCAAAGGATGGAGACGGCAGGTCTGTGAGGTCAGGGTTCATGTAGCGCGCGGCTAAGGGGTTGCCTGCCCGCTGGAGGGCCTCCACGAACAGCCTAGCCCAGCCAGGGGGCCAGACCCCCCGCTCCAAGGTGCTCAGGAGCAGTTCCACGGCGCGAATGTTCCCCGTGGTGGTGGCCGTGCTCTGAATCTGCTCCTTCACCTCTGCAGGCAGAAAGGTCAGGTAGTCCAGTACGGGCTCCACCTGGATGTACATCTTCACTCTGGCCCGGAAGCACGAGATGAGATATTTGAAATGCTTGTCCGCAGAAGATTCATTCGACATCTTTCCTTCTCAGAAAAGGGAGTTCTCCCAAGTAGACAGGTTGCTGTTCGCTGTCACCGGCGCACGGCTGTCGCTGCTGTGGAGTAGAGGCTCTGCAGCAGGTGCCTGGCGGCTACAGGGCTGCCCAGGGCCCCCGACGAGCGGCGGCGAGGTCGCACCTGGCAGGGGGCAGCGCGCAGGGGCACAGGTGGGCGGGGACGCAGCTGCGGACGGACGGACGGACGGACGGACGGCGCGGCCCCTCTGCCTGCCTGCTCGCCGGGCCACCCTGGCCCTGGCCCTCGGAGCCCGGCTTTAAGTGCAGTCGTCTGTCAGGCGGTTTGGTTTCTGTTTCGATTCTCCTACCCGCAGTTTCCCGACGGGAGCCGGGGGCGGGCGCGGCTGCCTCGCCCCAGACGAGTGGCCCTTCGGCCGGTTCCAGCGGGGCGGCGCTGTGGCCAAGGGCGCCGTGGCGCCCAGGAAAGGAAAGCGAAATGCCCTGGCCGGGCGGCCGCTGCGTCTCCCCCTCGGGACTCCGCCTCGCACGCGGACTCTCCCGCGGCCGGCCGCGTCCCCCGGGTCAGCCAGCCCGGCCGGGCCTGACTCGGGACTTTCCAGCCTAGAAGTGAAGAAAAACTGACGCCAGTGGGAATGCGGGCCGGGAGCAGTGCGATCGCAAGGGACAGGTGCAGCGATGAAGCTGAGGACGTTTCCAGAGAGGAGGAACCCCGGAACCCCAGAATGAAGGGACCCCTCACCCTTCCCAGATAGAAACCCATGTCCTGCCGGTCCCCGAGAATGAAAGTTTTCCACAGGGAATTTCTGGGTGGGTATGAAAAAGAGTGAGATATGAAAAAGTTGAGAGCCTCATTTGTAGATTGTAGTATTTGTTTTGGCTTTGACCAGGGCCTGGTGACAGACGCAGAGGGACTTTAACCACCAACTCAGTTTAGGAGGAAGCCAAGATTGAAGGTTTCCTATCTCCCAGCATGCAAATTCCCCATATTCTTTAATATACAACTTTCCTTTAATAAAACAAAACAAAATCCCCAGCAACTTATTTTTGACATAGCTGCCATTCTTTTCTTGGACTCAATACAGCAAGTTTTGGCTGAAGCAGCTAAGAACTTAATTAGCCACTAATGTAGCAACTTGTAGTAAACATCAACATTTGTCTATGTCATAAGGGAAAAAAAAAAAGACACCCACACTGAAAAATGGCAGCTTCATTTTAGTACAGAAGCCATATAAACACGAGTCCTTCAGGTTGCTGCTCAGGCATTCTGCCACCCTGGGTGACTGTGGGTGGTAGTATACATGCTTTATAATGACAACCTCATGGTCCAGAATTATATGGAGGATGGAGGGGTCATTTAAGCTATCAGAAAGATATATTTAGGAAAAGTAATTTGTTAGCAAGCACATTCAGTGATGTTTGGATAGGCCAGGGAAACCTGGCCATGCTTTCCACTGGATAACAGAAATACTGTCTTTGTGTTTGCCAGAGGCATACAAAATAACCTTGAGCATTTTATAGCAAATGTATTTTCAATATATTATAGCTAAACCTTTTTCTTCCTTAAGTGATTGTGCCCTACTTGAAGAAAGGACATATTTACACAGTAACCAGTACGATACAAATAGTAGGCTCTTGATTTCTCCACTGAAAGTTGCTGAAATGAAACCTTGGCCTTATAGGTGTGTCTTGATGTTGGGAGTTGACCTTGTACCTAGGTAGAAAGGCGTCCAATTAGATGATTCTGCAGAAGTATTTAAATGATTAATTTCAGTTATTGATTCTACAAAGATATATTTTGGGGCTACTACAAGAAAGTGCCCCCCACTCTGTGCAAGCAGGTTTCATTCAGTATGTTAAACCAAAAACAAACAAGCAAACTAAAAACTTTCTGTCCCCTCCTAACCATCTATTTAGTTTCAAATACGGGGGAATAAGAAGGGTTGCTGATTAAACATGGGGAAATAATGTGATCTTAACACCATGAAATTGCTGTCCTGATGAATGAAGGTCTAAAACAGAAGTTTAAATGTTTGTATTCAGATTATATCATTCATTTATTTGGTTACTTAAAAAAAATTATTAAGTACCTACTAGATGACCAGCACTAATCACGGTGTAGTTAATAAAGCTGAACAAAGTTTCTACTTTTTTGGAACTCACATTCTGATGGGAGTAGGGAGGCAGATAATGAATAATAATTAAAAAATATACAGTGAACCAGGTGAAGGTAGATGCTATGAGAACTACGGTAAGATCTATTCAAAGTATTTTATTGTTTTTGATGCTATTGTAAATTGGATCATTTTCTTTATTTCTCTTTCAGATAATTGGTTATTAAAGTATAGAAACACTACTGAATTTTCTATATCAATTTTGTATCCTGAAACTTTACTGATTTTGTTGATCAGACCTAACATTTTTGGTGGATTCTTTAGGATTTTCTACATCTAAAAGCATGTTATCTGCACATAGAGGCAATTTTACTTCTTCCTTTCAAATTCTGTTTTTATTTATTTCGTTGTGGTGGTGGTTTTCCTTGCCTGATTGTTCTGGCTGGGACTTCCCGAGCTGTGTTGAATGGGAGTGGAGAGAGTGGGTACCCTTGTCTTATTCTTGATTTTGGTAAGATTCTGGATAATAATGAACATATAGTTTCACTGGTTGACTTTCCAAAGAGATGTCCTCTCCTAACTCTTACCATTAGCATCACATAATTCCATCAGTAACAATTCATATTTACTCTCAAGTATGAGTAACTCTACTGGATGAGGATTGAGTGGCGAGGGCTAAGCATAGGTGAGTGTACCTGAGGGAAAATAGAAAAGAACTTCTACCATAATTTTTTTTTTAATTTTATTGATTGAGTTTTCAGAGAGAGAGGACAAAGGAAAGAGAGAGAGAAACATTAATTTGTTGTTCCAATTATTTATGCATTCATTGGTTGATTCACATATGTGCCCTGACCAGGAAATAAACCTGTAACCTTGGCATATCAGGACCTCGCTCTGACCAACTGATCTACCCAGCCAGGGTAAAATCTACCATAAACTTTTTTTTGAATTGATTTTTTAGAGAGAGAGGATGAGAGGGAGAGAAACATTGGTCTGCTGCCTCCTGCTCGCCTCCTACTGGGGATCGAGCCAGGAACCTGGGCATGTGCCCAGATAGGGAATCAAACTAGCAACCTTTTGGTGCACAGGATGATGCCGAACCAACTGAGCCACAGCCACGCTGGGCAGGGCTCTAACATAATCTTAATAGCACCCCTTCTGGAGGAAGGAGGTTGAAGAAACAAAACCACAATCTCTCAAAATGTATATTTTTTTCCTTCATCTGTATTTTTGCATCATGATTTACTTTATTTTCTGCTTTTTGTTTGAATGGATATTTTCTTCTGTCAAGTTTCTTCTAATAGCTTTCATTTTCATCTTTCTCCTTGTTTTCTAAATGTAAGTTTCTGTTTCCTTTCTCTCTTGATATGGAAAATCCTGCAGATCTACATCTTTTTCTTTTTTTCTAGACCTGCATATTCTTTTTAAACTCAAAAGACACATTTCAATTTCCATCAGTTTAAAAAACAATCTTTTAGCATTTTGTTCTTGAAATAGTATGTCGAGAATATACAGATAACAGATTCCCACCATTATGCAACTTCTCATTTGAATTTTTTACAATTAAGAAGTAGTAAAAATCACAGCTGCCACTTTTTTGACCACCAGAGCTACAACTCAATGGCCACACACGGCAGTAAAGCCTTTTCCAAAGAAAATGATAATAAATATAGTTTAATGAGGAAATCCTTCTATAATTATTATTCTTTGCCTTCGTGTGTTTACTAATTGTGTCAGTAAGGAGCCTACTCTGTGTAATTTCAAGTTGGCCAGCAAGCAAGAGTTCTGGATAAGCACAGACTCTGAGCTCAGGATGTCAGAATTCACATCTCAGCACTGTCTATTAATTGCTGTGTGATCTTGAGAAAATCACCTCAAATTTCTCAGTTGTAAAATGAGAATGATACTAGTACCATTCCATATGGTTGTTAAAAGGATAGATGAGCAGTTAGCACCAGGCCAGGAATATTTTTGCTCTACAAATGACTGCCAGCATTCTTACACAAACAATGAATATGAGATGATCTATCCCTCAAAGAAAGTATACTTCATAGAGGAAATAAGTTAGTTATGTACATAAACACTATATAACTGAGTTTCTAGACAGTATCCCTTTTTGCCAGAAATAGTTGATATGCTGATTTAGCAGAAAAGTTTATTAAAAGATACTGCCATAGCTTTATATCTTAAGAACATGAGTAGGTCCAAAATAGAAAGAGAAATTCTGGCAAAGTTTACTAGACCATGATACACATTTCTTAATTACTTCCACCAATTCAATGATAAGGGTCTAGTTTTAAGTGTGCACATGTGAAAGCTTTTCTACATAGGAAACAGTTTTGGGAAAAAACAAACACACCAGATATTAGTGGAAAATTTTCCAAACATCCATTTTTCCAAATGCTTCCTCCATAGCTTAAGTTTTCAATTTTCTGCTCTCTCTCTCTTCTCCTTCTGGCACCCCTATGATGTGAATGTTGGCATGCTTGAAGTCAGTTATCCCAGAGGCTCCTTACACTATCCTAATTTTTTTGGATTCTTTTTTCTTTTTGCTGTTCTGATTGGAAGTTTTTTGCTTCCTTATATTCCAAATTGATGGTTTGCTTCTTGGCTTTACCTACTCTACTATTGATTTCGTGTAAATTATTCTTTATTTCAGTTAGTGCATCCTTGATTTCTGACTGGTGCTTTTTAATGTTGTTGATGTTCTCACTAAGTTCCTTGGAGGTCTCACTAAGTTCCTTGTATGTCTCACCAAGTTCCTTGAGCAACCTTATACCCAGGGTTTTGAACTCTGCATCTGATTGATTGCTTATCTCCATTTTGTTTAATTCTTTTTCCTGGAGTTTTGTTCTTTTCTTTCATTTGGGACATGATTTTTTGTCTCCTCATTTTGGCTGTGTCCCTGTGATTGTTTCTGTAGATTAGGTAGAATTGCTATGTCTCTTAGGCTTCATAGGGTGGCCTATTGTTGGAGGTGACCTGTGGGATCCTGTGGCACAGCCTCCCTGATCGCCCCAGCTGTGCCCTCAAGGTGCACCCCTAGTGTGGACTGTACACCCTTTTGTTGTAATTGATCTTGATTGCTGTTGGCACATCAATGGGAGGGATTTACTCAGGCTGATCAGCTGCAAGGACTGGCTATGCCCACCGACC